TATTTACAACATTACATTTGGTTTTTATGAATTTTTAAAACTACACTTTTCAAGAATGCCAAACAAATAAATCGTATGCAGACGTTAATAATACCAGACACTGGATTATTCGGATCGGTTAATGATTTCTAAATAGTGTCAACGATGTTTTAGTAGTTATGGTGTTACAGGCAGTAACTTACAATAAGAGTGTTAACAAGAACTGTTGAATCCCTATTTAAAAAAAAAAAAAAAAAGAAGATTAATTTTATTTTCACTTATTTTGGTTATCTTGTTTATTTTTGTAAAATGCACTTCTTGTTTCCTGTGTTTTTTTTTTCAATTGGTGTGTGTATTCTTATGCGTTTTTGTCATGATACGGATCCATAGTCTTTAAAGCATGCAAACGCCAATGCCATAAACAGTGCTTTAGTCCTACATCATATAAGTTAGGCTTATACCATCAAGGTAATAATACATCTGGTTACACTGGGGAGGTATTAACGCACGTATACGCTCTAATGATCAGTGTACGACCACATTGAGCTTACGTGCTAATGGCATGGATGGATATCTTCAGAGATTGTATACATACACCCTGACTGCCCAATGGGAACGACACGATGTATCTCAAAAGAGACTTTCATGTTACCAATCAATCATTCAATCCATCAATCAATCAAATAATATTTGTAGAGAAAATAGGCCTACTAGAAATTATGGTAATTAATGAAGTATTTTGGGGCTTTTCATTTTTTTACGATTGACTGTTGTTGCAGTACAGCATATACTGTTGGAACTTAATATGGACTTTCTTCAATACTACATTATGCGTATATCACACATATTAAAAATGTCAACTTTATTATAAAAAAATCTTGAAAATAAATTCAGGTAGGGACCTTTTAAGCTATCTGACAAAATCTAAACAACAGTGAGTATAAGATATTTCAAATAAGTTATAGGCCTAACGCAGTTTTATCGATTTAATAAGATATATAAAAACTTTACTCGCGTGCAAGATCTCATAGTATTCATTACAAACATTACGTAAACCCGTGCGTGCTGTTTTGGTCTATATTTGGCGATAATTGTGTTTTATGAGAAATAAATTGAACATTGTTAGGAGAGCAAAATGAATATGAAAAGATGCAAAAAAGTTCAATGCTCTTTTATTACTATTGATTAAACAATGTACATGACTTTGCGAAATAATCTCTTTCATAGTAAAATGAACTGATCACGTGAAGTGATATCTATTTTATTACTAATCAGACTTATCAAAAACTAAAAACTGTCATCTTGCTTTTTACAAAATTAAAAATAATAATGGTTTCGATAATATATTATGAGCCTACAGTGCCTTCTGAAATTTCAAACTTTACATTTTCTTATTTTTGTCAGGGAACAATTCAAAATGCAAAAGGGTCCGGACAGAGACGTCATCCATCGGAAAAAATTAAATGAAATCACAAGGAAATACACGAAATTAATGTAAAAACATACCGTACTAGTATAGTTGTATAAAAATGGAGACAGTACTCACAGTGCTTTCTATGTAACATTTGCGATAATATTCCTAAGATTTCCCTATATTGCTACTGTTCCATGGGGAATTTATTAATTAATCTTCATCTTAAAATAATGCATTTATTTCAGATTATTGATAATGATATAATAATGATAGATCCAACATTCAGTTATCGAATAGCTTTTATATAGAAAAGCAATTGGAGATGATAGACCACAATGAGGACAGGCCTACACTTGTATTAATAATTGCTTTCAGTCGTAAGAACTCATTAATAAGTAATTTGGCAAAGCTAATAGGAAATATCTTTAATGGTAGTGTATATTACCTTGTAAAGTCAGGCTCCGGAGGAAAAAAATTTTTTGATATGTTGTAGAACTGATTTTTCTAAGACAGAAAAAAGTTGTTTGACGAAAAACTGGGGAACGGTGAATGAGATACAGATTTTTTAATATTTAAAAACTGGGGGGGAAAAGGGGCGTAACTGCCCATTTTCACACCTTATTCCCCCAGTTTTTAAATATTCAAAAATCTGTATCTCATTCACCGTTCCCTAGTTTTTCGTCAAACATCTTTTTTCTGTCTTAGAAAAATCAGTTTTACAACATATCAAAAATTTTTTTTCCTCCGGAGCCTGACTTTAACAACAACAGGGACAGTTCGGTATCCTTTTCAAACCATTTAGAGATGAACAACGGTAAATACTAGTTACGAATCTGGGGATTTTCCTTTGTTATGTTCAAGCACAATTTGCATATAGGTGGTCGACTCGCGACCTTCGATGGAAGCATCTAGACATCTTTAATGTTGAAAAATGTCGATGAACGACAACGCACTCATTGTGGAGCTAAAGTACATCTAATGAACCTGCCTTTAAAGTTCATGATGAACAAATACCTCGGGTGTCTGGCGCACGCGCGTTGGTTTACAAGCGTTCCGGATCCTATTAGTCTTGTTGCTAAAATATCAAATGCAAAATATACAGTAGTACAATATCATTCATGAATACCAAAATAATGACAATAACAAACAAAAAAAAAAACACTTAATAATAAACAAAGGACAATAAACAAAAGTTCAATTCAATTGTTTTTTCTTTGGAAACCGGCATTAAAATTCGCTGTGCATTTCGCTTCTTCTTGAGCAAGGCACTTTTTCTACATTGCTTCCACTCTACCTAATGTATCAATGGGTATCAGTAAATTTCTGGGAGTAACCTGCGGTGGACTAGCGTATCACCCAGGCGGACCATCACTCTTTTCCGAATAGTGTACTGCGTTCTTTAACATGCACACAACGTCAACGGATCATAGTGGTGGCGCCAGCGGGGAGGGGGATTTTCCCCATCGGACAGGCCTGGACCCCGTCCTCTGATGCCACAACGAGGTCGTCGGATCAATAATAATAATAATAATAATAATAATAATAATAATAATAATAATAGTTAAAAAACAGTTCCCCGTGAGGCTCGAACTCGCTACCTTCAGATTATGAGACTGACGCGCTGCCGACTGCGCCAAGAAGGCAATGCAAAACTGGTTTTCTAGGTTTCCCATGCTTATTCGCTACTATATTTAGCGCTATAAAATCATTACTGTATGGCTACTGTACTACTGTAAGAAAATAATTTAAGACATTTGTTAACAGCTGAAGTTTATTCGTGTAAATCCTATGATAATTTCGATGGAAAAGAAGGTTTACTTATTTAGGCCTGCCATTCCATTAGGCCTACTTTTTCATTAATAATATTGCAGATACATATTTTATTTTTCGAAGGGGAAGTCATCTACATAAACCTGAACCTCAGGCTTCTACAAGTGTGTTTACACATTTTTTTTGGGATAAAATGTGATAAAATCATCCATGGCTTACTAAAGATCAGACTTCCATGTGTGATGACCGTACATTGCTTTGCGGCCGCGATAACACAGGTTCAAACACGGCATTGATAAACAACGGCAACAGTCTTTTTTTTTATTAATTAATATTTTATAAATGAATCGATTAATCTGATTTTATAATCTACAGATTTGTTAATTTATTTTGTTTTCCTTGTCCATTATTATCATTATTATTGGAAGGTATCCATGGTTTACCAAAGGTAAGAGTTCCTTGTGTTTTGTCCAGTTTACATCAGGACGCGCGCCGTGACCGTATAGTGGTTAGTCCATTGCGTTGTGGCCTCAATAATCCTGGTTCGAATCCTGGTCAAGGCATTGATAAAACAATGTCACGGCCATGGTCCGTTGTTATTTATTAACTTTGTCCTAATGAGTTCGGCAATACAATACTTAATCAGTTTTTCGGCTATTTAGAGAGTTTCTATTTTTTGTTTTGTTGCTTTTGTTTGTTAGTTTGTTTTATTTGTTTGGTTTACCATAATAATGCTAAATTGTATCTTGTATCATTATTCTTGATTTTTGTATTCATTCTTTCATTAATTCAGTAAGAAACAAATTATATAAATCAATACAGTGCATTTATTCATTTCTTTTCATTATTTTATATAGGCCTATAACATATTCATTCAAAATTTATTTTAAAAATCGAACGCAACGATACAATGATTTTATCCGTTTGATATTGTCAATGATTATTTTTAGGACGACAATTAGGCTTACATGTCACATGTTACTTTACCTATTTTCTAAATTGAATAAAATAAGTACCGTAATTCTGTAATAAATACCAATCATATAATTATAGCAGACACAAAGTAGTGCTAATATCGATTTGGGCTGTTTAAATAAAATAAACCCCACTAGACGAAGTAGTTAATCCATTTTCTTCTACAAGGTAATGTGGATGAAATTTATAGAACAGTATGAGTAGCAAAAGTATAGTGGAAACTATAAAAGTAAAAAAATAAAAATATAATGCTATAACATAGTGTTGTTTTTCAGCACGGGAAGATAATGCTATATAGAAATCGGGTAGAATTATAACATTATATACTGATCATTATAGCTTATTTTTCTCCGGGCATCACAATTACCAATTAATGGAAACGTGTAAATGTACTTATAAATTTTGTAAACTGTAAATAAAAAAAGGGAAAGACCAACTGACCTTTCCGAAGGGCTAGAAAAACACGCTTGTATCACAAACGCTCGTGTTTACATTAGCAACAATATCCAAGAAACGGGGCTTACAAATTTTGTAATAATCTATCGAGGGTAAGTCATCAATCGTCTAATTAAACGAAGTGAGACATTTCTTTGAATGACGATGGTAGTTAAAATTCATGAACACATTTTCTTGCATAGCCTACTTTAGGTCCCAACATTCACACTTAACAACCAACAACATCTCAAGTGTGCCTTATTGTATATGTTAAAGTATGGAGCACATACACAAATTGTCGAAGATGTGGTGCAAGAGAATGTGATTGGTTAATGACTATTGCGGAATCATCCATTAATTGACCAATAGGGAATTCGAAAGTTTAGAATATATGAATATTCATTCACACCCACCTATAAAGTTATCTTATTAAGCGACCATGAATTATTTGCAGTGGTCAAAGAGGATCACCGAGTTAGCGGAATCATCAACCGGAATTTCTCAAAACAAACAGTAGGTTCTATAGTTTGTATTTTAAAATCTATTATAGTTATTATATCGTTTCATACCTCATTTTTGCTATTTTTGTCACAGGCACCAGTAACATTAAAAAGCCTTAATTGCATTTCTTATAGTTTAATGGAAGCCTATATTCAGGTAATTTTATATCAGATATTCTAAAAGTTGTACGTGCAATATCTCGGTGTGACAAAAGAAGGGTCCTTTGAACTTTTTGTTGGTTTTACTTCAAATTGGTGGTAGCTACACCGATGCCGTCGCCTATAAAGTCACCCATCTTTCATTAATTGCACGGAAAGATTGTTGAATAAGATAAAATATAGAAATAGAGAAAATAATATCTATACTGTTTCTGTAGATCCATAAATTAAAGATATGAATTGAATTTTGAATAGTAAAAAATAAATTATAATCACAAATGGCTGACTTCATAAAGGTTAAGTTGGTCTTAATATTTTGATCACCACATGTTTGCAAAGTAATTAAGTTTATTTTTGTGTGTATATTTATGTGTATATAATTATTTATTTTATTTTTTTGGGGGGTAACTACTTGAGGGTAATTTTTTTGCTTTGAACATTTCAAATTGAAGGGTCGAAGTGACTATGTGTATATAATTATTTTATTTTATTTTTTTTTGGGGGGGGGGGTTATTATTATTATTTTTTTTTTCAAAATGACCTGGTGCTACGGGGTTCCTGCTATAAACCGAACTAAACAATTTCGGTATAATTACACACATATTAGCTGTGACATTATACGTAATGGGAGCTCTTGATAAAAAATTTCAACATTCTTATGCTGTTCGTTGAGTAGGTCTACTAATTTCAGAAAAACGTATCGTCCCTTCGAGATTAGAACATAAGACCATGAGCTTTAATGACTAAGTTGGCATACAATCTTCATATTCTCATTAACGCCTTCTTGAAAAAAAGAATGTGAACGTTATAATGTGTGGTAAAGGAATTTTGATATGTAGCGATAGTATCAAATGGAAAGATGAAATTTACATGAATTAGAACAGCACATCTGATCAGGAGTAAGGGTCCAGTTTCCTGTCGAGTCTTTCGCAATCTCGCTTTCTATGTATTAGACTTTTTTTTGCAGTAACTCGTGGCTTTTCTATTGTCTGTTGTAGATTATTGCTTATTTCAGCACTTACCATATTTGGCATACTGATATGCTCACGGTAGCTAGAGTAGGCTTCCGAAACTGAAACAAATTGAATAAGAAAATAAATGTTAAATTATATTTCATAAAAAAAGAAGGTATTGTTGATAGGATAACGTTCGTCTCTAATGTAATCACGTAATCACCCCTATCATCTCCCCTTCCCCCACCCACAAATACAACTTAATTGGTTAACATATTACAATAGCACGGGAGGCATTGTGGATATTGTTGGTTGTCGATATACGGTAGTATTTGCAAACGCTTGACGTATTAGTTTCACCAGCAGATATATGATTAAGTCCCAATGAAATTGGATTCGAATTAAATTAGCTACCTCATCTGTGTATCTAATTTTCGACACGGATATTATCAACGGAGTTATCAATCATTTTCAATACTTTAGACTCTATAGTCAAAGGCGCCGGTAATATAAACATCTATATTAGTAAATCCTACAGATGACAGGAACAGTCACCTGATCACTTACGGTTTTCTCGTGTTATTGTTTAACAAAAATAATAGAGTGGCCAGTTGTAGTACACAACTTAATTTTAAAGTGCATAAAGATATGAGTATGATTCTTAATTAGTATCAGTGACATAATGTATTATTTTACCTGAAAGCTGACCAGAGGTAATACTTGTGTTTCAGTAATTTTATATCAGTCAAAGAGAGATCCTACTTCCGTGAACTTGTTTTCATATTAAATCCTCTATTTCACGTAAAGTTCAGCCCAACTCGTATTGAAAGTGGATTATCAGTCATAGGCCTACCTTTATAGCTTGCAGCAACACCTTAGTTTACAGACTTATGTATAAGTTGATAGAGAAAATAGTCTATTACCTAATAAAAGACTATTGAACATGGATTAAATTTGCATCACTATGAATTTCCACAATCATTACCATCCAAACGTGCTCATATGAATTGCGTTACTTCAATAATATTTTCATTTACGTTTGCGCAACAGTGGTTACGCTATAACTCAGAAAACTTACATTCGAAAGAGATATACCGCTGTGCAAACAAGTGAACACAGCATTTTAGGCCATTTCAGATGACGACGTTAAGAAGTTGCAAAATGTTTGAATTATTGTGTAACATCTACGGTACAATATGTATCTCTTGGGGAGCTATTATGACAAAATAATGATAACAAGTATAATCCACTACACATTATTGACTGAGGGCTGAGATTATTCATCCTTTCTTAATTAGAATAGTGATTACTCTGTAAGCTACCGTACTAGATATAGGTCTACGGTAGTTAAATGCCTACGTATACTGTTGTGGCATAATTGAAAGTATAGGCCTATGATATATAGGCAGTAGACCCATGGTTCGAAACACACTCTCTCTCTCCCGTA